ACCCTTATACAGGCATTATCCAAGTTCTTCAATGCTTCCAATGATATTTAAGAATTACACCTTGGTCTCTCAATTCCATGCTACTGGACTTCGCTTTGTCCGAAACAATTCAACGCTATTATTCCAATTCCACTGAAGGGAAAGAACTTGTTAGTCTACTCCATAGTTGCGGGAGTCTCATAGCAGCATTACCTGTGCCCATTCCTCCAAGCGGTACTGCAGATCTCATGCCGAGAGGTGGAGGAGTCCCACTGGAAGACTGGTAAAGATATTTAACAGGTGTATATCGTGGTGTAACCCAGCCATGGACAGTCTTAGTGAAATTTTCCGGTTCAACATACAGAGCGCACTGCTGCAGAAAGTTAAACTTCATGTCTGAGTTGATGTTGGAAGGTCCATTCAGAAACCGGACTGAATCAAGAAGGTCGCCTATGTTACCTAAAACGGAACAACATAAGTATGAGGAAATAATGACTATTTTGTTTGTTTCCAGAAATGGGAAAAGTAGGTCAAAAAATTGAATCATTTCTAAATGGCCTAAGTATTGGCATTATGCTCAACTTTTGACATATGGATTGCCTTTACTACGCCTTTCAGTAACATGCGGACTCTAAAATTCAAAGCTCAACCGACAAATGCGTTTCTCGCTACCGTCGATCAAATGTTTGGCGGCTTCTCCCAGCTTCCAACTACTGCCGACCACTGTTTCGTTGTCTGAACTTTGCTCAACGATTTGATTACCGCGCACTAGGCAGTAGTCGGAAGCTCGGAGGAGCCGCTGAACATTTGATTGACGGTAGTGAAAAACGCATTTGTCGGTTGAGATTTTAATCTTAGAGTCCACACGTTATTGAAAGGCGCAGTAATACAATAAGTGATTTTAACTTTGCTCCTTATGACTCCCTGTTTAGAGCAATAATTCAAGCTTCTTACCACGCGACGCATTTGTTACCTTCATTTGGATTAGGCACCACTGTTTTCTTGCTATTTTTCCTTTGAACGTGATCTTTAGCTTGTTTGATATCCCACCTGTCACTTCGGAGCTTCTTGGAAGGATTATCTATGTACGCTATGACATTATCAACTGTTTTGCTGTCAACGTTCTTAGATTGACAATCTTGCATGCTATAACACTGCACAGTATAACATCGGCCAGTCATGATAAGGGCGATATCACACAGCTGGTCCTGACAACAGAGCTTTGCGCAGTGTGTAATGTCATTTGATTTTCCACGTAGTGTAAAGTTCCCTGCGTCCATTCCTGAATTCAAAGTGGCATTCTTTGCTATCTCTATGATTCCGCACTTTTTATCATCCTTGTGCAAGTATTTACTTTTCTTTACATTTTTAACTTGGGTTTCACTTTTGACTCTTGTTTTGACAGAACGGCGGTTCGGTGCGCCTTTCTTTCTCCTGCTAGTTGAAAGTTCATCTCTTCGCTTTGCAGAAAACTTCTTTTTAACATGAAAAGCGTGTTGTGTCTCATTCATAGTCTTTTGGCTGTTTGAGTTAATCTTGATTTCTCGGAAACCACTTAACTGAGTTTCATTTAACCAGACAGCGTGCTCGTTGGAATAAGGTTGCTTGGTTTTCGACGTGTCTTTAATCTTCGGTGAACTTTTTCCTGTGAATTAGATTAAACATACCCAAGAGACGATAGATCATGTCTCTTGACATACCATATTACTTTCATTATCAATTATTTTCAATTATTATCATACATTAATAACTGACCATTATAGGTTAAGAAGAGTCAATCTATACTGAGCACCTTACTTCTGAAGTTAACATTGCGAAAACACTTACAGCGTGGCGCTTTTTCTCGACATGTTCAGTTGAGGAATTATATTTTCTGGCCTGCACTTTCAGCGCTGATGAGAAATGCAATGGTGGAAACAATAGTCTTCGTTTTCTCAGCCAAACGAAATAGTAGCCGTTTCGATTTAGCGTCTCTGGTGACCAGATTATTGATTGGCCATGTTTGTTAAATCAAAAAAAAAAAAAAAAAAAAAATCTGCTTTATGTAGAAAAAACAAAGAGATCATGAGGCAAGAGATCCCTCCCCCACCCGATGGGGTACTCCCCAAAGATTTTGGTGGGGTTTGCGGCCCAACCTTGAAGCCCTTACCCAATTTCAGGCCAAAAAATGTGATTTTCCATAGTCTATTTCAGACCTGCATGAGTGAAAAATTGATACACCATATCTCTAAAATTACCTCACGACTCTGATATGACTATATGACCGAAGCTAACCAGAAATGGAGCCATTTGCATAAACATTTCAGAAGGGCGACAAATTTGACAACGTTGATGCAGAAAAAAAATAGTTCCATGTAAACAAAATGCCCAATGCTAAGCCAACGTGTAAAACATACCCTAATTCAGATCAAAATGGTGAGAATTTATACCTTTTTCAGGGCAAAACATCTCAAAACCATACCCTTTGGTGCTGCACATGCCTGTATAGCCCATATAAGGGAGTCCCTACTTTCCCCCACCCCCGGGAAAAATAAAAACAAAGCAAGGAAGCATCCTGCATTCTACTTACGGTACTGGTACCCGTTCTTATGGGTCAAACACTTCTTTTACCAATATTTCGTTTCATTCAAACTTTGTTCCCCTTCATGTTTGTGGGAATATTATTAAAGTACTCTGCTGTTAATATGAAACCTGAAATGTGTTTTCAACATAAGAGCTTACACAAATATTACATAGAGCATACTTAGCGTGGTCAGATTAAGGAAGCAGTTTCCATAACCGACTGATCAGAAGTTGCCGTAACTTACTTTTAAACGCATTGTTTAACAACACAGCCTGAAATGACCTTTGTCCTTGCACTGCTGTTTGAAAGCGACAAACGTCTTCCGTTGAACAAAACACGCTGTAACAGGAGTGGCCATCGAACAGCACTACATCACAGTTTTCTGTGTCACAGCAGTGTAGAACACAACTTGAAAGGTTCTTATGATGCCCAAGCCAGTGACTTGCCATTGTCATATTGTGAGAAGAGGAAATAACGGTATTATCAAACGTAGCCACCGGGAGACACTCTCTTGGATCACGCCACGAATGCGAACTTCCATTTAAGCCTTTGAGATGAAAACAAGCAAAATAATAATGGTAGATTTCTCATTCGAAACTAAGAATTGGAGCACTTAATCTGTTAATAGTTCGTCTATTGTGATCTTTTGACCTACCTGTGCAGAAAAGTACTTGGATAACAAAGAAAGTTATAAAAGTAGCACGATGTCCTCTGAAGAGTTCATAACACATTTCTTCGATACAACTTTGAAGTTTAGCACAGACGAGACAGTGGAACCAGTCAGCAGTTTACTTACTAGGCCGTGAAAAGAGCAAGTATATTTGATATCGAACAAAAAGCGTATCCAGAATGTCTTATACAGACAGGTGCTTTTGTACTGCATGACCAGTCAACCAACGATCTGACAATCGGGCAGCCACGACAAATTTGTGCAACATTTATTTTACGACTAAATCGAGAGTTTCAGTTCAAACGAAACTCGGCTTGGAACCAATAGAACAAACAAAAGGTGACAAACGACACACGAACGGATATGAACTGTTTAAGGGTGTTATGGCCACTGCGAAAGAAAATTGTTGTCTCTGCATCTGTCAAAAAAAATACAAATAAAGATTGCCTGTTACAGGGTCGTAAAGTTGTTCCAATAATTCTCTGTAATCTATCATCGACAATGCAGTTTTACAAGCTGTTTAGGTCGTAGACGATGCGAAGATAAAGAAATCTTTGATTGTAGCTAGAACTGGCCTGCTTAGATATTGTTGTTCTATAACGGCTGGATGGAGTTGACATCTCACATAATACATAGAAAAACACCCGCATTTGCCACTGAGACTATAAGGAAATGTTACATCTTCACACAGGCCACATATTTTCAGTTTTGAGTTTGCTTTTTATACCTAATCGCAACTTTTTGTTACAGTTCGACGGCATGTCAGGCGAGTTTGGTTGCGCCAAACAGCCTGCATGTCGCCAAAGCGTGCCACAAACGGTACGATTAGGCATCAGTAACCGTAACCCTACTCTGCCAAAATCCAGGAGGTATTTTTCCAGTTACAGTAATCTACACGAAGCACAAATTGTGTAGACCAGCTTATGTTTATGCTTGTGTCTTCTTCAACGCTTTTGTCAAGTTTCTCATCACTCATTGTCTGTTTAGAGTTTCGTTTTCAGTGTTTTGAAAACACAAATTAAGCAAGAAATCTGCTTGGAAACTCCAGCTCCTTTTAGAAACAAAATTCAGGAATGCCGGAAAAGATCACGCAGTTGACGATCTCTGCTATAGTTAAGTTTTGGGGGGAGGTTTTGACACCTTTTAACCTCGAAAACAAACGCTCAATATTTCATAGCGAGCTTAATATTCTTTTGTGAAAACTTCCTTTCAATTTGACTCGTGGAAAAACTACTATTAAATGTAAAAATAGCATCAACTCGGAAAAAAAATCCGAGTTCCAGATGGGATTTAAGCTCACGACCCTCCGTGATCTAGCCGGACGCTCTAACCTTATAATAATCACTTTGAAGGGTAGAAACATTACTCTACTGAAAGTAACCAGAGAGTACCGACACTTCTAGCTACTTTACGCTACAGAGACACAGGAGAGGTTAAAAGCTTGTAGTAGTGGGTCAATGGGGTTGTGAAGACTTGCAGGGAACAAAAAGCATTACTCGCAAAATATTTCAACATTTTTTCTCAAAGATCATGGCTTAAGATTGAAAATTGTCAAGGATGTTTGCACGTGTTACAATCCAAACCCTTTCCCTTGTGACCTCGTGATGTGACTAATGCCTTTTTAAGAACCTTATTATTATTATTATTATTGCTATTATTATTATTATTTATTTTTTATTATTATGTTATTTTTATTTTTGTTATTCTCTGGCTAGTGGAACTAAGGCTACGTAGAGGCAGACAAGTAAAGGCAAGAATTTTAAAAGTTGCCTCTCAAGGGTCACAAACACACCAGTAGAAATATGGTTAGCAGAATATTTGTGCAAAAAGTCTTTTGGTACCTAAACGTGGCCAGGTGGCGTGTCAGTCCAACAACCAATCAACGTCGGTATTTACTAAAGCCGGTGACACCTGTTACTATAGTGTTACGCGGGCCAAATAGCAAGAATATCGCATGAACAGCTCATTGAATTCAGTGTTGTGATCAGTGCTTGTGTAAACGCGTGAACTACTCACTGAAAACAAAAAGGAAATGACCTTGTTGAGGTTAACGTTTACACTTCTGGCCTTTGTACAGGGTGAGTTAGAGGTTTTTTTTCCGTTAAATCTTCATTATTGTTCTGCCACTGACACGTTTGATCTCATGTTGTTTCTCCGGCAGTAATTTTCGTGGCTGACTGCAACTCTATTCCCAAACACAAATGTACACCGCCTACTTCTTCAGAAAAGCAACAAACCGAGGCATCTCTCAAGCCAGATCACTTTAAACAACTTGGCAAGGTTCAAGACATGAAGGAATGTATCGATAAATGCTGCGATGTGGAACATTGTGATCTTGCCATGATGTCGTACGGCGGACAAAACTGTTACGGTGTAGCTTGTTTCAGTGAAAACCTTTGCCAAATGCTTCCATCATACCCTACGAGAATAAGTTTTGACGTTGCACATGTGTCAAGGTGATAAATGGGAGAAGACTGTTAACGATTGCATGGTTATAGACAATCGTTTCAAGCGAAGACCGCACGCTTTGTCCTCTACGCTTCGGCAACCGGGAGCAGTCAATGAGGCATAAAACATAAAAATCTTAATACAAGGTAAATCAAGGTGTTGGAATATGGTGTAATATAAAAAAAGAAAACATTGGACACTTTTATATCGTGAAGGTACCTCCTTATTTTATATACAAAACTGATAGGATTTATCAGCTTATTTTTTTAAGGTATAGCCATGTAAAAATGATAAAAAA